AAGAATACGCTGAACTTTATCCGGACGCGGCAGCTGCAATCATTCACAAACACTATGTGGATGATTATTTTGACAGCACCAACACGGCCCAGGAGGCAGTGAAGCGGGCACTGGACGTCAAAATGATTCATTCAGCAATGGGATTCCACATTCGCAACTGGATGTCAAACTCAGCGGAATTTTTGACACAACTTGGTGAAGCAAAACCAGAACAAACAGTTTATTTCAGTCACGATAAACATGCAGCTACAGAACGTGTTCTTGGAATTGTCTGGCGTCCCGAAGAAGACGTATTCACTTTTCCGATGACGTTTAAAGACGAACTAAAACCGTACACAGGAGGCGATGTTCGGCCGACGAAACGAACTGCGTTGAAGTGCTTAATGTCTTTGTTCGACCCACTCGGATTGGTTGCTCCCTTCATCGTTCACGGAAAAATACTGCTGCAAGAAATTTGGCGTACAGGAAGTCAGTGGGACGATGAAATAAGCGACGAATGCTTCCAGCTATGGACTCGCTGGATCCAATTGTTCCCGAAAATTGCCGGTCTTCGTATCCCGCGGCCGTATTTCGGTGGCATGCTGCTAGCAGATAATGAAACGATGGAAATGCATGCGGAATGCGGCATAGAAACCGAAGCTTTTGATCAGTATAGTATTCCGGGATATATTGTTGCTGCTTGTTTATCACATTCTAGACACACTGGCGGTGTTGCTATTTATGTCAAAGAATAAGTTCAATTCAACCTTCGTACCAACGAAGTTATTGATGGCAGCTGGTTCTTGGGCACTACAGTTGTACGTGGCATGAAGATGGGTAATTATGGTATTTTGTATCATTCTCCAAGTTCTAGTGACCAGCGTTTTGTTGAAGTTTTAGAGAACTGGCTCGAGACATTCCTTGATTCTAGTAAATTAAATATATTGGCTGGTGATTTTAATATTAATTGGCGTGATAACCATAATTCGAATCATTTGAAGCGTTTAGCTGAGTTTTTTTAAATTTAAAGCAAACGGTAAATGAATATACGCTTATTTCCAGGCACAGTAGAACTTTAATTGACCACGTTTATTCCAATTTTGATTCCATTTGTTCAGTTACGGATACTGATTTGACAATAACCGATCATGAGACTTTACTGATTAATGTCTTAGACCATGTTAACGATAACGATAATTTTGTAAAATTGAAGTGCTGGAGGAAATATTCAAAGCAAGCTGTTTCGAATCTTGTTGAGAGGAGCGTGGATTTTCCATTCGCGGCCGGTAACTTAGATGAATCTACAGCTGTTCTTAATAACGCTTTGAAAACGTGTACCAATCAACTAGTTGAGCAAAACTTTGTTTCTTTGAAAAACTCGAACAACTGGTACAATTTGGATCTTTTGAGTCTTAAACGGAAAAGGGACAAATGGTACAAAAAGTTTTGTAGATCTAATAATGACAATCATTGGACTAGGTACACAATCGCGCGTAATGAGTATTCACAATCGATAAAGAAAACTCGTTGCGAATATGTTCAAAGGAATATTGATCAGCATCAAAACAACAGCAAAGAGTTATGGAAAATTTTCAAAATCTTTATTAAAACCTAGTAATTGCAATCCGCGGTCCATAACTTTTAATGGCACATTAGAACAGTCAGAACAAGTAATTGCAGCTAAGTTTAATGATTATTTTGTAGACAGTGTTTCATTGATTAATCAATCTATTGAATTGGTCAATGAACCTGACGAAATAAAACAGCCAGTTAGTTTTAACTAGTGACTGGCTAAAATAGTGTAATTACAGGACATAATAGATTCTTCAGGACCTTCTGGTCTTAGAGTTACGTCTATGATATACTAGGGGCACGCAATAACCTTTAGCTCCAACGCAGGCAACGGCTGTAATAAAATTAATTCAATAAACTACTGCTTTAATTACGTTAATTACATAATGTAGAGCATTAACTACTACTCCATTAATTATAGTTGAAATTATAGTTAATTACATTTTCAATACTTTTAATTACATTAATTATTAATAATTTTAATTACCGTTACTTCTACTTCAAAACGCATTAATTAAGTACTTTTGATTGCATTTTAACTTCAACGCACCGGTTCTTTGTATTGCGTGCTCCTCGATGCTATAACCATATGCCCTATAGGGCTAGGACAAGAGTTAGTGCTCAGATCCCAACCGCTAGAAGAAAATGGAGCATCACTTAACCTTTTGAGACTAGATGCTCCCAACGCCAAAAAGGTTCGATGTTTCTTAATCATCTTACTCCTTAAATGCTGCATAGGTGGCCTGGCCGTTTTGATATATTTCGCGCATCTATGATGTAACAAGTTCATGTATAAAAACGTAAGCAAATTTCAAACACTTCCCTGCCTCTAAATGCTTTTGTTATTATTGAACGTCCCCTGCACTATTGCTGCTTTAAAGGACATTCAATAATAACGTATGCATTTGGGTGGGGGTGGGAGGTTTAATTTGTAATCCTCGTCTGGGGTGGCAATTAATAACCCACCCTTTTAACACAAACCAAGTGACAGACAGAGCGGCTCGAAAACTTTGGTGACGAACCTGCTATGGCAATTTTTTCAGTGTACCACATGACAACACTAATCGATTAGTTGTTAATCGAGTAATTAAAAAATGGGACATCTCTGATTTTGGTGTGATTATTTTGATAAAAATGAGCGCAAAATTTCATCTCTTCCAAAGGGGCAGCAAAATCACAAAATTACCTTAAATACGGGGGGTTCTCATTGGATGAAAGGGACCGTGAAAGAAGACACTAAAATAGAAAGTTTTTCTTCCGACAGTTCATCTTCATCTTCATCTTTGCTCTAAGACTAGAAGGTCCCGAAATAATGTGCTCAACTTTTTGGCTCAGCTCTGGTATTCTCTTCGGTCCCAAGCTAATCGATTCACCCCTCGAAACATAGGAAAAACCAATAACCCCTCATTTTATCTGTCAAACTTTCATAGCGAATCAAAACAAACATTGCGTAGTACTAGAATTTCGACTAGAATGGGATACGTTAACCGTTTGCTTGGGACCAATAGGCTAGTCAAGTAGTGAGCCAATTTAAAATCGTTAGTTTCGTATTGATTGTTGCTACTACTGGATTGAACTAACATTTTCACCAAATGTACTAGAATGTTTTTGTTCTATCTTTTTCACTCTACTCTGTCGTGACCTGACCGAGGTTTCAAGCCTCGGCCATTTGTGCGTTTCTTTGATAATCAAATAAGCCCTACACGCTGACTTAAGTTAAGTCAAGTCGTTTGTATTATAAGACTACACGCTGAATCAAGTTTACTCAAGGTATAGTTATCGCTATTCACTATTATTATTATTCTGTACCAACTCTATCTACCACATACTCAAAACTGAAATGCCTAAAAAAATGACAACATGATACACTCTTTGCACACTGTCACAGATCATTGCACACAAAATCAACTTTGTTCAAATCAAAACAAAAAAAAACTAGCCCATCGGGTGGCTGATGGCACAAGCTTCTAAGAAAATTATGTTACAGCTAACCGGATTATTTTAATTGATTTTTTTCACCAGTTAGTCGTCTGTCACTTCGTTTGTGCTTTTAACGTGTTTGCCATGAGCATGTGCCTTGTCTGTTATGATTTGTTTTTGTGTTGGTCACACGCTCGGCACGCATGTAGCGTAAAAATATCGTTTTAAACTGTCTCGTGTCTAGAATAAAATTAGGTCCCGTTTCTCCTTTCGCTGCAAAAGAAGGCGAAAGACATCAGCAGCATAAAATTCGAGCGCGGTTCCAGGACAACGATGGCGGTTTTTTGTATTGTTTGTGATTGTTGAGAAACGAGAAGTTTCGACCACGGTTGGAGTACGACGCGTTTTATTTGCAGCGTCCGCTTTAGTGAAAACAAGAAGTTTGAGTGCCGTTTTTCGTGGCGTGTGTCTGCTGGAGGGATAATTACCAGCATCGTTGCGTGGAAGTGACGTAGTTTCCCCGAAAAGTGCCGTGGTTCGTGAGATGCATAAGTGAAGAGTGTCGGATCGCCCCCATTGGGGAAGCTAAGTGAAAAGGAGTTTTTCGCTTCCCCGGCTAATCCCCAAGGATCCCCGAACACCGTCGTCCTCGCTGCGGTGGCTCAGCCTGTAGAGCCAGCTTCGCCACCGCAGTTAAAGCCAAGGAGGGACGAAGCAAACCGAACCGAAGGAGCGTTCGCCTGGATAGTGCACTGCGGTGACTACTGGGACCATCTACGGCGAGTAGTTGGTCCGGTGATTCGCCACCACCGTCGCCGGGGGGTTCCAAAAAAGGAGCCTTGCTCATCTCCCCGCTAAAAGTAAAGGACCGCTGCTAGGCAGCTTAAAGTGAAGTAGAAGGCGCTCGGTACCAGGAGACCATGTCTGGAGCCAACGTGAACAAGCAGCAACCGCCATCGCTATCGTCGAAGGGCCCCACCGAGTGACACCGAAGACAACGAGGAGGAAAAGGGAAAGGTCAGAGTAGAATAGACGTTGTAAATTTCACATGTCTCTCTTTTTCTTATCAATCCATCCAAATCCGAACGTCTCTGGGGGAAGTACTCTGCTCGTAGCCGCAACTTACAAATTTGCTTATGTATTCATACATGGGAGGGATCATCAAGATGTGGCTTATTCAATTCAACAAGCTAGGGTTGGCTGTTCATGTAGCATAGAACGGATGACGAAAAGCGACATGCGAAGAGCTTTCAGCTGAAACCCCGGACGAGATCTTAAACTTAGAGGCTGATTCCGCTCTTGGTGGGTTATTGTAGTTGTGGAAGACATTTGTTAGGTCACTTTGACTGGAAGCGAATGGCTTAGGGAAAGTAGAATAGAATTTATTGTAGCTTATTAAATATCTGGTTAAATATTATTGCTTAACAAAATCAGTTTGTTATTAGGAAAGGTTAAAACACAGTTTTGTAATTGTATGATTTATTAGATGATTGATTTTACGTGATACATTTTACTGTTTGTCTGTGCTTATACATATGGTATACCTACAATGTAGGAATCAAATGGTGCCAACTTTGCCTTGAAATATTATCCGAAAAAATAGGTTATATGCTTCTAAACCCTTTCCACGGTACGCCATGGCAACTATAAAGTTTTGAGTGTTGGGAAATCTAGAACATGATGTTCTCGGAATTTTCTCATAAATAATAATCAGTTTAGTATACAGGTTTAATGCGCTACCCAAATAGTGTTTTGTCAATATTTCCACCATGTGCCTTATATTTACATCCATTTTTGGTAATTTCATATGCCTCATATTTTATATTGCAGGTACATACGGGGTGCTTCATACTCTGCTTTTGCCAGTCTTTTTCACCTCTGGGACACTTTCTTCAATATCCGTGTCTTTTTTGTATCCTTTGGGATGTTTTACCTAATGGAAGACAATTTAAACATTCAAAATTTAGATGTAGTAGACCTATTAACAACACACACACACAGTCATGATTCGGTTTTGAGCAAAGTTCGGTTTGACAGCTCTCGGCGGTGTTGAAACTACTGTATCAGTGCGTCCAACATTGATGAAGACACATGCACAACACATGCATCAGAAATGACTGAAAACTGATGTAATCTTGTTTTTTTTTTTTTTAATAAGCAATTTGGCTAGTCAATCATCGTCCTTTGTTCATTCGTTTTCATTGCCTGATTAAAAAAAATCATTTCATTTCTGATTTCATTAATGAATCTCTCTCGCATCATACTTCTCTACCATTTACGTTGTATGTATTTAATCGCATCGCACATAAATGTGAAATGTTGTTCACATTTTATTGAAGTTTGTAGCCTATTATGTTTTTGGTGAAGATTATATTCGCTTTACTGTTTGTAAACCGAGGAATACTGAATTTTCATATGCTCGACTTAGTCACTATATTGTGTTAGTTTTCGTGTGCGGCGAGCTAATAGTTTCAACTAGAGCTTAAAATTATTGACAGCCTAGGCTGAGTGTGAAAGCACTGCACTATTCAATCCATTGCTCTGTGCAGACCGTTTGTACCAAACGGTAAAGGACGAAGCAATGAAAGAGCGAACAAAAACATTCAGTCACTCACGAGCAGGCGACGCACACCGCTTGCATTCACTCACACATCATGTAATTGAGTCATTTTTCCATAGAAAATGCACGCTCAGTCATTCAAAACAAATATTGGGTACCATCATGGCAGAATAAACGTGTTGACTGTGCTACTGACTGAGTGCTCGGCTGTCAGTGACTCGTTTACCTCTGAATCATTCAGACTCTCACGAGGCAGTGAATGATGAGGCAGATGGCAGTTCATATTCATATCAAAATGACTCAATGAACCTGACTGTTTTGCGCACTGGTTTCGACAAATTGACGTTTGAATCTTTATTTACAAAATCAGATACGGCTATTTGAAAATTCATCCTTAAATTAACACGCATTTATTGTCCAATACACTTGATATTCTTTACTCTATGGGTTATTTAAAATACTTCCACATCTTTTTCGGTCTTCCCCTTGTGCCAGAGAATTTCCCATGGATGAGTGTACCGATGGATTATAGTGCTCACTACATTTTCTGCAGCACTTTTTTGTCACTTTTTCTCGAGTGAGTGAACTCAAATTCATCGGTGCACTCATCTATAGCTACGTTCAGCCACCAATTCTAAGAGTGGACGTAATTTGTGTATCATCCCTATATGTTTACTAATTCAAGAAAGGAATAAAAACGTAAATATTACCATAACTTTGGTGAAGCATCTGTCAATTCCGTATCGATTTCTTGCAACTATGAAAAACGCTCCTTCATCGGTAAGCAATGCTTCTTTAATAGAAAATCGAATGAAATCGTTATGAACCTCCTTAACCGTTCGTGCAGCATTTGTAATATCTTTTGTACCCTTCATCCATTGAACTGAAAAAATAAATAAAAATTTACGTTATTTATCACAGAACGATCATCCGAATATTTTCTGAACAGCTTAGGGAGTGGGACGGGGTAGCAAAAAGTTTACGCTAGTCCACAAGGGGGGGGGGGGAATGGGTGGTATTTGTCACATTTGTCTACGTAGCTTAAATTTGTCTTCCATAATATAGGCTATCTCCAAAGATTTCTAATAAGCTACACCCAACCGGGAAATGTAGTATTCTTAATACGAAGTATTTATCGTGGAGGTGCGTATTATCCCGCTAGAGCATTTTACTCCATTACCCCATCTTCAGAATACGGCCCAAGTAACAATTTTGGTTTTATGAGGGTTCTCTACTATACATCATGATTTACACTCAAAATAATCTACACGTTGAAGCTACGTGAAAAATCACGTAAGCTCTCACTTTTTCCTCTCCTCTCAGTATTATGTGGCTCACGTAGAATGTATGTGATGTTCCTTGAATTTCACAGTGAGTTTCTTTTTAACACACCAACATAATTAATGAAATGTACGTGATTTTAACATAACACTGAGTACATGTGCGTTTCACGTAAAGCTTATGTGATTTCCACATAAAAAAAGAGTGGTACGTAGGCACACTCAGAGCGCTGCAAATCATGGCGGCATCACAATATCCTTTGTTCGGTATTTTTGAAAGATAGTGGCAATATGTAAGTATAAAATTATGGATTATATTTTTCTCTTTGACAAACACAAACTGACTGTTTCATCGTGCTCAACAGAATGATTTCAAACTGTCCAGCAGTTTCTTTCGCTAAGGAAAAAAGTACTTCGGCCCATGATTGTCCAGATTGTTTGTGCTTCGTAACGAGAATTTAAAAAAAAATCTGATGTGGCGAATTTAGCATATATGAATAAATTTAAGGAATATTACTATATACTACTACTTTAAATACGATAAAGATTGTATCTAAAGAGTAAGGAAATTTACGAATATTGATACTAGAATCCTCCAATGAATGTTACCGACCAAATCACGTAACTTCTATGTGATAATCCTATGACGGTTAAGCTTCGTGAAATGAGTGACCCTACATGAAAAGCACGTAGCTCTTATGTGAAAAGTACGATGGAAAAAATCTACGTATGTTTTCACGTAGCATTGACGTGAAAATAATTCTGAGTGTAGACTTGTAGAATGCTATATAACCTCCATAAAGCTTGCAATTTTACTTGGGGGTCTCCCTACTGATGAAGATGTTCATAACTCTACTTACTTAAGCCAAAGTGAAATACTTACTTTTGGGTTTTGGGTCACCGATAATTTTGAATGCCATCGATATTTCTTGTCCTTGTCGAATCTTGATCTCCGGCTGTGGTCTTGCCAGGAAAATCGGAGGTTTGGCTCCCTTGATTGCGTTTGGATTTATAACGTCAACATTAGATGATGATTCAGCTTTACCGAATGCATTCGTTGCTCTGCAAGTGTATTTTCCGGAAGCGTCCATCGTCGCGGCCGTTATACATAATGCAAAAACGCCAGTACCATCGCTATAAAACCGTACCTTTGGTGGTCTTCCCTTGACCTCATATTTGTCCTTGAACCATTGTACCTCACAATTGCCCTGAACTTCCACAACTAAACAAATGTTACCACCGGATGGAATAGAATAATCTGCTAAAGATTGATAGAAATGCGGTAGATTAGGATTTCGGTGGTAAACGCTGTGGGTTCGCTCGAGCATAATTTTTTCTTTGCCAACAAACTGTACATTATGGCTGATGGCATCACTGCATCCTCCGCTTTCTGCTTCACAAGTGTAGGTGCCAGAATCCTCTTCACCTGGTTTTGTTATTATTAGCTTACAGGTACCGTCAGCATGGTCATACTGTTCGTATTTATCACCAGGAATAACGTACTCCCCATCTTTAATCCAGGCAATATTCGGTCTGGGAGAGCCTCTCACACGACACTCCAGAATAATTTCATCCGAATGTAGCGAATATGTTTCTGTAAATAATGGAACAAATACTTACGAATTCTACGAAAGTTTAACATATAACATGGCAATTATTAAAGGAAAGCTACAGGTATAACGCATTAGTAAATCTAAGCTCATGAATACCCACGCACAATCCATTCGGTGTTGATATGTTGTGGACAATTTTATACTTAAAAATAGATAACCGGTTAATTTTTCGCATCGTATAAAATTCGAATGAATTGTATGCAGGCCTCAAGGTTATTAGTTCGAAGACCGCTGAATAAAAATGGTTCAATTTCATAACGACCTTAACAAACTGCAAAAAAGTTTAAATGAACACAACAATTGTCCAAGATACTACATATCATGCTAATGACTTTAAGTGTTCAGTCTGGGCAACCTCAGGTAGACGACGGTGTCAATTGTCTTCGTCTTCTTAAGGTGATACTCTAATACCCCGTTCACATTACAGCGTATATCACGTGACATACGCTGTCTTGCAATGAGCACTCATACATCTAGTTTTCACTGGAAATCCTTTGTATGAGTGTTCATTGCAAGACAGCCTATATTACGTGATATAGGCTGTAATGTGAACGGGTATAAGGAAGCCTTAGCGCGAAACTTTAAAGGCATAAATGTCAGCTTCCACAAAAAATACAAATTTGAAATCGCTACTCCTTGTTTGCTGTGCTACTACAAACAGAGAATAGCAATTTCAAATTTGTATGTTTTGTGGAAGCTGACATTTGAAGCTTTGAAATTTCACGCTAAGGCTTCCTTAGAGTATCACCTTAAATGCTTTTGCAAATTGTTATTGAATTTTTGTGCGTTTTTAATGTTAAGACTTTATTCCATTTGGTAAATTTTCACTTAATTTTGACAGATGGAAAATTTTGAAATAACACTGCAATTCCACCGATCCCACCAGGCTTATTTATGACAGACAAGGAATAAATTTTGACAATCACCTTCTAGAAAATCGGCAGATCAACAACAGAGATCTTCGAAAAAAAAAATCACCAAATGGATCACAGCCTAGGATGTATCCACTGGAATGTTTGAGGAATCAATAAGTTGGCCATCTTGTTAATTGAGACTAAACTATAGACATACTAACGGGAAATACTATTGATAAACAAATATTTACATAACATATTTAATTTAATGGAACAATACTCTCTTTGCACTTCTATTTCTTTCTCATCTCGTTGAACAATTATTTTAATAAAAGCATTAGTTAGTATAGATTAGTATTTAGGTATTAACAACAGTTAATCAAAATTACGTAAAAAATATTTAGTGTTGTTATTGAAAAGTAGTGGCAGTGTCTACTTTTAAAGCACAACACCATTTTTTTAATTTTTGATAGTGATTGGAAGAGTTTTGCGACTAGTATGCTTTATGGTTTTCGATTTTGACTTTCTCAGTCTAGGAGGAATCCAAACGGTCCGACGTTTCGGCTGTGTTTGTTTGGCCTTTTGCACCACTAACATAATATAACACAAACCTATACCTAACGGTAAGCGTGTGTTTAGCAGCTTGAATGTTAAATTTTTCTTCTTTCCTTTATTTAACGTCGGTCTCTGTCCCGCAATCTAGTGCCAATCACCGACGGACATCGACTGCCATCCATTGACGGCAATCGAATGTGCAGGAAGGCAGCCTCCACACCTGCGTAGGATATCTCACCCATCCAAACACACATGAGCCGGGACCAAAGGCTTGATCTTGAAATAAATGAGACATGGGCATCGTCATTGACAAATAATATTGATAGTACCTGTCTTATCATTCTCATTGAGCAATGGCACTACTATGAAATATAGATTATCATCTTGTTTTCATAAAGGTGTCTCAAAAAACACACAAATCTCCCTCCAGCATGTGTTTTTTGTGTGAATCATTTGTTATATACTGCCCACAATCGCAAGTCAGTCCCATATGTAAAAAACTGGAAATGAGAAAACGGCGTTCAAATATTTTTCAAGTTTTCTGATTTTACGCTTATTTTGGAGGAATAAATTTAAAAATAAACGTACAATGTGATAGAATGCATCTATGTTCACCCAAAAATATTGGAAAAATATCGTGAAATTTTTATTTTATGGCTAAAATCTGAGTGGGACTGACTTGCGATTACATTTAACGTCAATGAGAAAAATAACCGCAAGTCAGTCACAATTCCATGACGATGCTGCATTAGTTTAGCACAGTATTGAACAGTAGAAAGATACGATGGTCCCATAGAACGCTATTGAATGTTTCTGCATTTGTTCCACTGGTTCCAGAGCAATGGCCAGAACATATTCCGGTGAGTATGGGTCTTCTTCAGACCAGAGCTTTTTATAAACGTGCCAAACCCACCATGCGATAAATCAATTCACATGAGAATTCAATAATAAGATCAATAAGAGTCATGATGTATCCCCGGAGAAGTAGTAAATCCTTTTTAAATAAAAATTCATCAAGCGATACATCGAATCACATGAGAATTCAAAGCCATATCCATTGGCGGTCAAACTGAGTATCGTAAAAACCAGTGTTGGGAAAATATCAAAAAATCAAATCTCACCAACGCCCAAGATCACGCTTGATTTTCGTAGACAAAAATCAACAAACAAACTACTGCGGTTGATTTTGCAAGCTGTGATATCGCAGCTCGGAATATCAAGCTAACAAAACTCACCAACTTCAAATCTCAACAAACTGTGGTGAGATTGAGTTTAATGATTTTTGCTTTCTCTTTCTAAAATAAACGATGTGCAATGGAATCATTTTTGTGTCAAGTCAACTCTCAGCTTGATTTTTGCACGTTGTGAATAGTCTCGCAATATCAAAGGAGCTTGTAAAATCAATATCAAGCATGATATTTTGTTCCAATATCACGTGTGATATTTCGAGCGCATGAGAGAGGAACAGTGTCAATTGATTTCTGATTTTGCCAACATTGGTAAAAACTATATCCAGACATCCGGACATGTTCCAGATACCCTAGGGGAAGTGGACAAAATCTGTCTTGACACAAATCTCATGATGCGATGTGTTGTCTAACATTTCTAACATACGAAAGTTTGAGAGCTTGCGACAGGTGTGTTATAGGGATTGAATGAAGGGTTTAACGGCTCTTTCAGTCTTTTTACTGCAGCAAAAACGTTGTTTTGCTTCAACTCTTGAGAGTTGAAGCAATACAACGTTTTTGCTGCAGTAAAAAGACTGAAAGAGTCGTTCAACCCTTCAATCAATTTCTAACATATTTTTTTCTAATGGTGCTGACTTGCGGTTACTTTTTGCTGTGGGACAATTTGACTTGGTATTGTTTTTCAGTTTTCTTGAACAAACCACCTTTTTTTCAATAGCACATCTCAAAAAACATAGAAAGATTAACTGAATAATGGTGCTAACTCAAAATTGAGAAAAAACATGCAGATGGAACTGACTTGCGATTACCGGCATGCTATAATAGTAGGACTGAATTTGCTCAGCCATCTTACTCAGCTCGATGTATGATCATAAATATACAAACATTAAAAGAGCGTCGTAAATTTGCTATGATTTCATTTGTTAGTGATATCGTATCACTCGCATTGATTCAATAGAACTATTGTCATCCTTAAATTTACATACACCATCAGGCATTTACAAAGTAGACATATATTTGCTACAAACCGCCATCATACGAATTATGCCAAATTTGAACCCTTGAACCAAATTATGAACACATACAATAAGCATTGCGATAACATTGACTTTACAATAAGAAAAACCAAATTAAAGCAATATTTTAATTCCTTGCGGAACTTCAGCTAGTGGTAGTTTTTAAAATTGTTTTCAAAGCATATTATAATTTATACAACAAAGACAAAATTGTAAAAAATAGTTTAATTCGCGAGAAATCGGCAAATGACTTGTTTGTTTACATAAGCAATTACGCCCTAATCTAGAAGTTCTCCGGATATAAGGACTGTACCGAAAATAAGTTTTAAACGGATTTATCTTTCCAAACCCATAAAAATATTTTGGAAAAAAATAGATTCTTCATTTTTGTTACTTTATTATGGAGGTTTTTTGATTGTTTATGTCATGTTCTTCTTAAGAAGTTAACTGCCTAGAATTGCACATCAGTCCCTTATGGATTTATTTTCGAGATAACAACGCTATCTACTATCAATTGGCATCTACTTTCATATTATGTTATAAAAGTACGAACTTTGATCGTGAAAATTTGAAAACAACATCTACTCAATATGTCCCATCAAGCAAAGTTATCGCATATCAGTCCCATTCTGACATTCCATCGTTCATAAGTCAAGTTAAAGTTCTGTTTTTTGAATTACCATATTTTTTTTCTGATATTACAAACATTCAAACTTCATTGCAACTGATTATAACTCGAAAAAAGTATCAATAAACTTGCTATGATTTATCAAATATTTACATAAAATTCGCTTCGTAACTTCGACTGCCATTTTCGCAATGGCTACTTTTTCCACATGGGACTAATAATGCGATTCTAGGCAGTTAACTTTACAAAAACAAATACAAAATAATGTAGGTACTTCTTAGATTTTGCTCCTCTTATAAATTTAGGATACCCAACACAAAATATTTTTTTTAAGCTCTTGCATGATCTTAGACAAGGTTGTAAAGAAAACGCATTTTTTTCAATTGTTTTGGCGGGGATGACCCCGGCGTAGTGGTTAAGATCCATACCTGTAACGCCAAAGTCACGAGTTCAACTCTCACCACGGACAAGTCACGAATGACCCAAGAGCGTTAAAGTGACTATAAATTTAAAAAAATGGTTTGGCATAATTTTTCATCAACTATCTACGTCATTCTAGTTGAAAATGGAAACAAAATAGGAAATTTAGATTTTCACCGAGCACGACCCAATTTAACTTGTTCGCAACTACTAACTATTAAATGCCGATTACTGATGCTGAACGACAGTCGTACACACTTAATCTAGCTCGGTAAAATCTCCAACAGCCGATTACCTCGGCATTTACTTTTCCTGATATCTCTTTTTTTTTTTTCCTTTGGTTTGTTTTTTCCGTCGATCTTGTTTTCCGTGCTGAGCACCAATGCTACTGACGTGCCAGGAAGGCAGCTCCCATACCTGGACCCTACCTATCGAACCATCAACTCATGAACCGGGGACCAACGGCTTTACTTCCCATCCGAAGGAAGGCGTGATCAGAGATGTTATGCCTCAGAACATCCCGGCGGCGCTGACTGGTATTGAACCCAGGCCTGCTGGGGTGAGAGGTAATCACGCTTACCACTACACCACTGGCGCCGTTTCCTGATATATCTGCAAAATATCTGTTTGTTAGCTGATATCTCAGCAAAATGTTATTTGTTAGCTGAGGCTCAGCAATTGTTTTACTGAATCTCAGCAAAATAAATTGCAGAATCGCTCTGCTGTTGGAATCTCGGCGAAAAAAATTAAGTGTGTAAAGAGCATCTTAAGAAGGATATTGAGACTTTTAAAACATTGAAAAATAGTCAAAAATATACTGGAACGATGCGTTCCAAAAACACGAAAATACACTGCCTGGAATCAAGCATGGGAAAATTTATTCACTCGTGCGAGTAGAGTAGAAACAAAATAGTCATCATCATCTACAAACAGATTGCCGAGCGAGTGTAAATTGTTTTTTCTTCTCCCTTTTTATGGCACAGACCTGTTGGTCCATATTTGGTGTTAATTATTCCAACCACGTGACTCTGTAGGTAGACTCGGAACTGACAGCTTTAGAAGAAATGAAGGATAGTTTTACCTACGTAGATTACTTTGACTATATGTTTAGTATTACTTCTGCGTGAAGTCAACAATTTACATAGTTGAAGATGCTAATTTCAAATAACAGACTAGAGTGGTAATTTTTATACGATAGATGAGGAGATGAAAGTATAGAATTCATAGTTCCGTTTAGAGTACGGCAGTGTGAAAATTGCATATAGAAGTAGAAAGCGAGCTACACTGAAACAAAATTCAAGGAAAAAATACTATATTGCTGGTTTAAATTAAATACCTTCATCAATAGATTTGTGCAGAAAACAATTTCATTTCATTTTACTATTATTTCTAACAAAATTACTATGCATTTTGACCAAGCATAGTAGTTTTGCCAGAATCATAGTAAATTTGTTAACATTCATAGTCAACTATACTGAATTCATAGTAGATTTGACGGTAATAAGCGTGATTAAAGGGTGATACGGTCAAAATTTGGTCAATATCAACTTGACGTATTTCTTTCAATTTTGCATTTAAAAAACCTGAACACCCCTCATTTTGAAGGTGTGTGTGTGTAGAATGTTGCTCCTATTTTGATTTTGGAATTCACTCTTCAGTTGTCAAAATGCCGTCCAAGCAAGAAGAGCAGCGTATCAAAATTTTGCTCGCGCATCGCGAAAATCCGAGCTACTCGCACGCAAAGTTGGCAAAATCGCTAAAAGTTGCCAAATCAACCGTTACAAATGTAATTAAAGTGTTTGGGAAACGTTTGTCGACAGCCAGGAAGTCTGGATCGGGAGGGAATCGAAAACCGGAAGCCGCTGAGACGACAAAGAGAGTTGCCGGTAGTTTCAAGCGAAACCCTAACCTCTCTCTCCGAGATGCCGCAAATAAGCTGGGTGTATCGTCTACAACCGTGCATCGAGCCAAAAAACGAGCCGGACTATCGACTTACAAGAAGGTAGTGACTCCAAATCGCGATGATAAACAAAATACGACGGCCAAAGCGCGATCCCGGAGGCTGACGAAGTTTGACTGCGTGGTAATGGACGACGAAACCTACGTCAAAGCCGACTACAAGCAGCTTCCTGGACAGGAGTTTTATACGGCAAAAGGAAGGGGAAAGGTAGCAGATGTTTTCAAGCACATGAAACTGTCAAAGTTCGCAAAGAAATATCTGGTTTGGCAAGCCATCTGTACCTGTGGCTTGAAAAGCAGCATTTTCATAGCTTCCGGGACTGTCAACCAAGACATTTACGTGAAAGAGTGTTTGAATAAACGTCTGCTGCCTTTCCTGAAGAAACACGGTTGTTCCGTACTGTTTTGGCCGGATTTGGCATCTTGCCATTACGGTAAAAAGGCCATGGAGTGGTACGCCGCCAACAACGTGCAGGTGGTTCCCAAGGACAAGAACCCTCCCAACACGCCAGAGCTCCGCCCAATTGAGAAATACTGGGCTATTGTCAAGCGGAACCTAAAGAAGACCAAACAAACTGCTAAGGGCGAGCAGCAGTTCAAGGCAAACTGGCTTTCTGCGGCGAAGAAGGTGGACAAGGTGGCTGTACAAAATCTGATGGCAGGGGTCAAGCGTAAGGCCCGGCAATTCGGATTTGGAAAAGCGGAAGCCTAACTGAATATTTTTCCTGAATTTTATACTAATTGAACTTGAAAAAGAAATTTAATTTGATTTTTTAAATAAACGATTTCACCGATTTACACGCGTTTTCCCTTGACCAAATTTTGACCGTATCACCCTTTATATTGAAAATAAGTGTTTTCTGCAAAATAGTATTTCTAACTATGGTCATTGTTTCAGTGTAGACAACTTTTAGGAAGGTGCAAATCAGTTTTATCATCTCTCTTTACCAAACTCCCCCTTTGGAGAGGGATAGTGAAGGGTGTCCCCCCTCCACCCAGTGCTATAAATAGCTTGAATTAGTAACTTACACATTGAAGATGGATAAGCTAATCCCAAGCGCCATCTATGTGAAAGTTATTTTATTATCAATTCAAAACATATACAAGGTTGTAGATACAGTAATGACCCGATTTTGCCAACTCCCAATTTGATATTATTTTCTAATATTCTACGAAACCCAGTGGTCTTATTGTACCAAAGTATATCATAACCCTTATGTGCTCGACACATGTTTTGCTTTTTTCTTCACCGGGTTATTCAAATGGGAGTTGGGCACACACTAATATTTTTTTTACCGAAATCTGTGAAATTTTACCGAAATCTCAACAGCTGAACGTTCGGTAAACAGTTTGGTGATTTTTCACAGATATTCGTTGAAAAATTACAGGAAAACTGTGAAAAATCACCGAACTGTTTACCGAACGTTCAGCTGTTGAGATTTCGGTAAAATTTCACAGATTTCGGTAAAATAATCTTAGTGTGTAGCTGAGTACCCCTTCGAGCACATAACGGTTAAACATCCATCTTGAAGATCTATGAGAAAGATATGGAATTACGATTATGTGAAATTATTGAATGTTAAATGTCTGATGCGTAGAGAGGCGGACAAAATTGGGTGATTACTGTACTCATTTCAGATAAAAAAAATGTTTTTTTCGTAAATTTATTCAAATGGGTAGTTTGCCATATTAATTGCAATGCAAGCGAGTGCACTGTTCTCAGAGACGAATAACAGAAGATACGCATTTCTGCATATGTTTTGCGATTGGGTGTATGTCATTGATAACATAATTCGTTCCTGTTTTAGTTTGATTCAAGGATGTAAAATAATCAATGTTTAGTTACATTCAACCAAGGATGAGCTGAAGCATTCTGATAAGCACTTATGCATGTATACACATCAGTTAACGCCTCATTTTCACATTTGATGCCTATATCATATAATGCAATGCTTTCATCATTGCTTGTTTTGTTAAATTTTTATCTGTTTCAAATTAGTGATTTGAAGCTATGTTTGAAATTAACGGTTATAGCGTTCTGAGTTTCTTTTGTGTCTATTTTCACGGTCCAAAACAATGAAACTGTTTATGGACCCCGTGAGACGTTTAACAAAACCAACTGAAAATCAAAAATGAAGATAGTTCATTTTCCTAAATGAATTATCCCTTTTCGTCTCCGTTTGCTCGGCAACGATGTGATGCATGGTTTACCACATTACCTAGAATTGTACTTGCAAAGATTGGAGGTACAAATTCGATGTAGGGGTTTTGATAAACGGTAACCACTGATTTCGATTCTATGGATCCTGCGTAATTTTTGGCTTCAATTTTGTAAACGCCGGCGTCGTCCAAATTGACATTTATCACTTCTAAGGTCGCCTTTCCATCACGTCGCTGCTTTTGCCGGTACTTTCGGCCTTGTACTATTGGCATATCATCCTTGAACCACATAAATTGTGGATATTTTCCATCTACATAGCAGGTGAACTTAAGGTTTGACCCTTCCGGAACCGTTTTGTCGAGAAGTCGCGTTACAAAGTGTAACTTATAGTTGTATCCATATTCCTTTTCATGTTGACTTCTTGCTTCAGACCATTTTATAAGATTCTCATCTTCTGGCGAGTATACACATTCTTTAGCACGCAAATGTCTACTTCTTATTGGTTTCTCAGTCTTTTTGTGTAGTTCATCTTCGAAGACTTTGATGACGTCTTCATCGCTGTTTTTAAAATTCAAATAGTGTACCATATCCGCTTTATCCAAACTATTTCTTGCACGACAAACGTATCTACCACTGTCCTCTTTCTGAGGCTGAAAAATAGTCAACTGCTGCCTTCCATCATCATATTTTTTGAAGAAGTATTTCGGTCCAGTATTTTTATGCATAAATGTGCCATGGATAATCCATATTGTTTCTGGTGCAGGATCACCGCGCACAGTACATTCCAAACAAAGTTCGTCTTTAATAGGGTTGTAGGTTTCTGTAAGTAAATAAATTCTTGTGAATTAAATTATTATTGTGGAAAAATTACAACAATATGTAGATGTTTCTAGAAAGAGCTAAGAAAGCAGTAAAGATTCTTTTTAGTATCAATAAGAGTGACAAACATTATTTATTGTATTTAATCGAGTTTGCAATATCTATCTTATTTTAACTATATTTGTATTGTTATAACTAGTTTTTGCTAGGTTCCATACCAACTATGCTGATTTATTTGTGGGTGTTTAGTATCGAGTCTAAACCAAACAACTGAATAGATTTAATAACGCTTCGCACTATTTAGGGGAAAAGGGCTCATAAAAAATGCGGAATCGCCAATAAAAGTGCGTTTTGACGTCGTCTTTGGTCTTCTGCGCACTTTTTCTTTATGAACCAAGATTACATAAGATTTCGTGTAAAAGCTCAATTTTATTAGCGTTTCCGCATTTACGTAGTGCTTGAATAAAAACAAAAAAAAAAACATTCGTTTACCATAAAAAAAAATATATAATTGAAATAAAATTCCTATAAGGGGAAATGGCTCTAATGTTGGCCTATGGATCTAAGATTGGGCCCATTGCCTAAAATCTGCTATTTATCAGAGTTGGTTGGAAATGCTAACATGAAGCTTTAGTGTGATAATTTATTAGCTAGAGAATGATCTTTTTTCATACTGCCGTACTCTAACGGAACTATTCACCTACCCTCTTCAAAAAGATCATTCTCTAGCTAATAAATTATCACACTAAAGCTTCATGTTAGCATTTCAAACCAACTCTGAAAATCGCTAACTTCGCGTATGAAGTAACATAAAAAAACACTTTGAATGCTATTTATCAATTTTATCTATATGAACGCGACATTGGGACGGTACTAATGGATATTTTTGGTCGCTATTGAAAATTTAGTCGATTGCTGAATTTATGTATGGGCCCACATTAGTGGCATTTGAGCCGACATTACATCCATTTGGTTGATAGTTTGGTGCCCAATAAATCTTATTGTGAACATATCTAAAAGGTGACATAGGGTAGAGCGCTACTTCGTCGTAATCGCCCATTTCCGTTCTATCGATCAGAAAAGATCAATAATATCAATGATTTCACCGTGCAAAAAACAATAATAGGTTTGTTCCGATGCGTTAGTTCATTAGCTACAACATAAATCCTGTTAGAGCGCATTATATGAATATTTACGCTCATTGTTCTCAAAACAAAAGAAGCGCTCCTAGCGAATCCCCTTTTTCTACGTTTATCCGTAGGACGAAGAAAATCTAATGGCGTTTCAATGCGTTAGGACGGAATTGAAACTCGTAGAACGAATTTAGAATCAAGAAGCAGTGTTAGATTTTAGACAATATCTCAACAATTTGTGACTCTTTATCAAACCCAACGGTACGTATGGAAAGGTGAATAAATTTGCAAGTCATCTTTGATAGAAATGTTCCATTTTTTGTTTAAACTCGTTCAGAAAAGAGAGGTAAAGCGCGGGTTGTGCTTAGTAGGACGGAAATTAGATCAAAAACCCTTATACAGTTTTTATTATATTAAAATTACATAATCTTGTGTACCCCATGAAGGACCACGTATGGCCTGGAGGGGTAATCAAGAAGCGTGGAGAACAACATGAAAAAATCCTAATTAATAGAATAACGGGTATCCATTAAAACATGAGAATGATTCCAATACTTTTCTAACAGAACCAAAACATTCGCAGATAAATATTACCTTAGGTGGATGACCCAAGTAACCAATAAGCCCATTAATCGTCCTTTTTGCTATATAACGCTGCTATACGACTGATATAAAGTTCGGAAACCCTATATTTACCTTATATCGCAAAAAGGGCAATTATCGGGTAGTTATCGGGCTTGGTGGTTACTTGGGGAATCCTTACACCCTCCAAAAAATTGTCACACACTTTATTTTACTTTAACATGTTCAGCCGTGTTCAGCATGCAATCGAAACAGGCAGAACTGCGCGCGTACATTGTATAATTCTTTCAAGCGAACGAAGATCGTGGAAAAAGTAAACGGTGGACCATTTTAAGAGGGGAAATGTTCAAGTATCCACCGTATACCGTATCCAGTAACCTGGAAGAGAGGTAGCGCCCGTCCAATGATTGTCGCGCTTATGTTAAATTCTCATTTGGTGACGGTCGAAGCGCGCCGCTCATATGCGCGATGCAACCCCGCTCATAAGGATTATACACAGGTGTGTAACTTTGATAGTATTTTATGGCAGCGGCTTAAGGAGCGAAACCTGGATAAAGAGCCGCCGTGTGTTAAATCAATGGGCGCAGTCGTACGGCTATAAACAGAAAACAGATGGTATAATCCCTTTTTGAGAAATTTATCTGCCACACACAATAAGATAATTAATAATAAGGCGCTCCGCTCGCTGTACAACATGTTCAACAACAAGAATTCGGTAAGTCAACGGGAAATGGCCAGAAAGTTCTGTTGTTCGAAGTCACACATCTGTAAAGAAAGGAGGGAATAGTGTTTAAAAAGAAAATCAGATCCCCAGAGTACACTGACGAGCAATTCCAAACCGTGAAATTCCAAGGCCGCTGGATGACCCGGAAGTACGGCGGAAATCCTAAATATGTGCCGAAAGACCGGAATGGTATACAAGTATAATTGGAAGGCCAAGGGCACCAAGCAACTCTCCAACAGGATCAAAAGCTTCATTCAGAAAATCTATGTGGCTGCCGTCCAACAGTCATGTGCCAATATCATGACTGAGCTGCGTTGCACGGCGGACCACGAATTGTGTGCCAATATTCACTAAGCTCAGTTTGAAGACTTAAGTTAACCATATGCAGAATTCAGTTTGAATTAGACTTCACCGATGTTTTTCCCGACCCATTCGTTTCACTGTCATTTTTAGTGGACACCCGTTACAGTAATTATTCCCGAACAGAGGAAAAAAAAAGATGTGTAGTGAAATTCTCGTGCATTTTCTAGATATTGATTTAAAATACAGTAGAATTAACCTATGACCTCGGTCCTATGCACATATTTTGAATTTCTTACTTAGTAAAACTTGGTTAAATTCAGGACCTTATAAAAATGCGAATACATATTCTATTACATTTGGTTCCTAAATTACAATCTGATATGAGTAAGCTTTTCTTCAGGTAATTCATTGAAGCGTCCAACAACTACCGTCATGATGACTGATATTCCCTATCTCTTCAAGATTTCTAGGGTACAAATCTTGGACGGTTGTAACATCACTCAACGATTAATTAGCCTTACAGATTCAATCTGATTTCAGTTTTACGACTGAGCAATCCTTTCATGAAAGGTTTGCGTCAAATGAAATATACACACCACAAAATACGTTTGATTTTGAGTTGCCGATAATAGAACAGCTGGTTAAGGATGCCGAAGAAAAAGAGACTGCCGCCAATAGTCACACTCACCTGAGAAGTTTTGAGCGTTGTAAAAACGTTTTCAACCCGTTCTGTCGATTGCAATGGATAGAATAGCATGCAGAAAATAAATGTAAACAAACAAACACGTCATATATGTGCGTAACGCTGAGAAATTTCTAATAGAAGTGCGGACGTTCCTTAGATTGTCGGGAATACGTAAAATTCCCCTAAGAAATTTTGAAAGAAAAATAAAAAAATACATAAATTCAGCAATGGACTAAATTTTCAATAGTGACCAAAAATATCCATTAGTACCGTCCCAATGACGCGTTCATCTAGATAAAATTTATAAATAACAGATTTTTAGCGATGGGCCCAATCTTAGATCCATAGGTCAATATTAGAGTAAACGAATGTTTTTTTTTATTATTTAGGCAAGTAACTGTATTGCTCCTGATTTTGTATAAAAATGAGCATTGACCGCTTTATGTGACTCTTTGAGTCAACTGATTTGGAATGCCATAACATGAATGAAAAATTACCTACTCAATGAGAAATACTACTTTAATATCATCAATCCTGTCTAGGCTCCTTCATAAAACATAATTTTGTAAAATTTCCTTTCCAAATTATTGGAAAATGTTGTATACTTGGACAGTTCTAATTTATATGATTATGTATGTTATACTTTCACTTACCTTTCATAACCTTTGTGAACACTGGTTTTTCTCCTTTGATTTCATTTTCGAAGATAGCTACTGTGCACGACTGTTCTATTTCTCCATAAGTTTTGCTTTTAGCGACGCAAGTATACACGCCTGCATCCCTGTATTTACACTTCTCGATTTCTAGCACACAAGTACCATTACGAGTGGTTATGTTGGACCAACGTAGGCCTTCCTTTAATATACGTCCGTCGTGTTTCCATTCTGACGTAATGTCTTCAGGGCATTTTACATAGGAGAACAGTCTAAAAGTTTTGCCTAGCCCAAATCTAACGTTTGGCATGTGTGATACGAAGTCAAACTTTTTTCTGCGTTCCAGTTCTTCTATGCCAAGCTCGATTTGTGTCTTTTTCCTGGTGTACAATACTTCCGTTTCATGAGCAGACGAGGACACTGCCGGATCCGATTTCATTTGACTTTGCTTCGGTTCAGGTGCTTTTTGTGCAATAAACTTGGAAGGTTCTGGTTTTTTTGGTTCCAGTGTCTTTTTAGGTTCTTCAATAGGAGTGGCTTGTTCTTCGAGCTCAGGAACCTCAGTTACTTCCGGAAGTGATGAGACTTTTGAACTTTTTTGGTTTCGTTTTACACTTCCTGGTTTTTTAATATTTGCCTTATCAAGCGATGTTTTGTTTACTTTCTCTTGATCTTCGCTTGATTCTTCATTTGTATCTTCATCTGATTCTTCTCCTTCGGCTGGTTCTTGTACTACAGGATCAAATTGCGCATCAACTCTAGCAAGTATTTCATCTACATCGAAAGTTTCAGCATCCTCAGCTACAATAATACCAAGCTCTAGCTCTCGCTTCAACTTTGCAGACGGCCGTTTTTTTGTCAGCCATTCAAAGTATTCTTGTTCGCTTGAGAATTGCAGGTTATACGTTGTAGTAGCTTCACCTAAACTATTAGTTACAACGCAAACATATTCTCCAGAATCCATATAGGTTGGATCGTAAAAAACGAGAGATGCTATTGTGTGTTCAGCAACTTCATCAAAGTGTTGAGAGATTCGAATATGTGGATCAGGCCACATTCCAAGTGTCCACATTCCTTTGATCCATTTTATAGTAGGTGGTGGGTTTGCTCTAATAAGATGCTCGACAGTCAAAATGTTGCTGTATTGGTCGAAGATTTCTGTGGTAATAGTTATGAAAAATATTGGATTAATATACTAATTATTTGCATGATCTCGTGAATGGTGGAATGTTGAACTATTAAGTAGAATCTCGTTTTATTTTGTTTTGTTGATTATTTTTATGTTGAGGTTATTTAACCACATTTATAAATAAGTAAATTTTTACATTGATATTTTCTAGTCATTTCCAGCCATTCAACGAGGATAGAGTTTAATAAGAACTGTTTTTATTTTAGTCTTTTGTTTCCATTTGGTTTGACTTGTTGTTGTTGACATATCTAATCCATCTAAATAAAACTGCGCTGCTAGCTTGAGAGATTTTTCAAATATTCCTTAAATCTCTCAAAAACGTGGATATGGTGAACTAGCCGTATATATGTGACCAATTTTAAACATCTCCCTCCCTCTCTTAGCGTATTTAGTTATACCTAATAAACATGGCCGGTCACAACTAAGTGTTTTCAATAGGTCCAAAAAGGAAACACAAACCAAAATAGGAACAGGTTTATTATTGTTCCATGGTGATTTTTTTTTACCTTTAGGTTTAAAACACATTTCAGTAAGGCTAATGGTTTTTCTATTGATTGAACTGTAGTGAAAAGATCAAAAAAAATTTTAAGTACAAATTATGAAAAAGTCTACATAGCAATTAAAATTCTACATAGCAATTAATTTTCTTCGTGATCAATGTCTATTTTTTTACAATTGGACTTTGACTCCAAACTCAAATGCCGCATTTATCTATTTGAGCTTATGTTACTAAAAATACACTTTGAATGAGGCACGTAAATAAACTCTATGTAGGGTAGATGTACTAGTCATGCCTATACGTTCCTATTATAGTGTGTTCCAATTACGACATAAGAAAATTCTACCCTCTAGCATTCTTACAACTAGAAAAAAAAACTAATAATATGACCTGAACTATCAATAAATTTCATCCAACCTGCTCAGCTTATTTGCACACATTGTTCTCATTGTTCAAAAGGAGCACTCAAAATGAATAAATTTTCCATTCCACTGTTACCTTCATCCATATGACGAAGTTAAGGTGATACTCTAAGGAAGCCTTAGCGAGAAACTTTAAAGGCACAAATGTCAGCTTCCACAAAACATTCAAGTTTGAAATTGCTACTCCTTGTTTGCAGTGCTACTACAAACAGAGTAGCAATTTTAAATTTGTATGTTTTGTGGAAGCTGACATTTGTGCCTTTGAAATTTCACGCTAAGGCTTCCTTAGAGTATCACCTTAAAGAGTAAGGGAGAACAGCCCATAATACACCCCTGGGGTAAAATGCCCGCTTATAGAAAAACAACGATAACTTTTCTTCAGATGCATTTTCCGGATAATGGAGTATGTTTGTTTTCAATTGAAGGTTTGACAAATAATTCCTGATCATAAAATCATAAATTGACCTTCTGAATCCTTTAAAATATTTCATTTTGTGCAAAACATGGAACAGTTGTTAAAATCATCAACTGCAAATTAAGCTTTTAACAGCATATATCACAAAAGAATGGAACGAATTAACTTTTCGTATATTGTTTAGTTTTACTTCATGAATCACCGTTTAACACTCTATTGAGACCTTATTTCTGATGTAAAATAAAGGAATAATCATTTGAAATATCTCATGTCTTTGCATTCTCTACTTGCAGGGGAGGGTTTGTCTACCATGCTGCGCATTTTACCTCATTGTTGTGGCAGGGCTACCAAAACTATAGATAATTCTGTATTCCTACAGATTTTTCAGAGTTTTTAAAACCAAGAATCTGTATTCACAGATTACAGATTTTTAGGATTTAATCAGATTACACAGATTTTTAAAATATGATCGAACATTTAAAAAATTAAACTTTAGATGTTCATAAACAAAAGATTATTTTCACTTATTTTACCATCACCAACTTATATATCTGAGCATGTTTTTTTTTGCGGAATTAAAAAGGAGAATGATAACTGTCAAAGGTATTCTTTTTTGCCAAACCATAAGCAATTTATGATACATATATTGAAATCTATTTTTCGTCTCTATCAGAAAAATGGCTCAATCGCTTTTCAAAGAAAACTTTTAAATTTTCATCACAAATATTATCACAGATTTTCTGGACAAAAACTAAGATGAAAAGATGTTTTTCTGCAAAAACACAGATTTACTTTTGGCAACCCTGTGTTGTGGTGTGTTTTGGCCATTGTTAACTGACATAACCCCAAGGCTGCAAAATGCGTGTCGATGCATGTTGACATGGCTGGTACCAATACAATGACCAATCGTTATGATTCAGCCACCAATCGAAAGATATGGCTATCTAATTTTATTTTGAATAGATAGAAAACCAATTAGACCTGTGGTTGTCCAGCCGGAACGGAAAAACCTTGAAAAGTCCCGAGCAAAATGCGTGTCGATTCATGTTGACATGACTGGTTCTCGGCAATTTGGTTACCACATTTTAAGATTGAACCACTACATGAAATGTATGACTATCTACTTTCAAACGGAACAGAAAAGTAACCGATTGGAGTTGTGGGTGGCCAATCGGAACGATAAACCCGTGAAAGGTGGCTCTGGAAATTCGGATTCACCGGGAAAATGGTCAAATCCTTAAAGAAGACCTAGAGATCCGCGATTTTTTTCTAAATTGCATACAATCATGAGAATAGAGGAAATATATCATCACCATAGCTTGTGAGTCTTGCCCCAATGTTGTGGGCGTTTTGCCCCGCTATCATTTTGGAACCGATTTATAAAATACCTTTAAAATCATGAAAAATCATCTTTTTGTAGTTCGAAATCACTCGATCTTCGTACAAAACATGGTAATGAACCATAAACTATTACTTTTTCCTTGATTTTAGCTTCTATACGCCAGCAATTGACAATTTTGCTTAAACGGTGCGTTTTGCACCATCCTACCCTAAATGAGATTTTTTTCATCAAATGCTGTCAATCTACTTTGAGCTGGTTCGAGCAGCTTTTATCAATTAAAACTCGTTCTAATATGTTTCATTACATTCTTTGTTTTTACGACAAAATGACTACAAAACTCTTAATTATACGATTTTCACTTATTCTAATCAAAACTCTTATATACCGTGGAATGAACGGGGTTCATTTGAATTTGAATTTAGTAAATCGCCTTAGTCCTTGTTTCGGTTTTGTTTCTGCGTTCCGTTTCACAGTGTTTCATTTTACTTATCTCCATTTTATATGCTGAATGACGTTTGAGCAGTGTTTAGTTTGCACGGTGTGCAGATTAGCGGGAATCGGTCAGATTACAGACAGTCACCACAAAACTGAAAAAAAAGTTATTCCATTCGAGCAAAGCTGTGCGTTTTGACGGTTCGATTAGAACAACTATTGACAGACGTCCATACTTTTACTAAGAGGACTTTAGTACAAGCAACTCGGAGTAAAGGCCCAAACGCAATAACAGCGGAAGCGGAACGGCAGCGGAAAACCCCGATATGAGTAAGCCTACTTGTCGGTTGAAAACTAGTTAGGCTGTGAACCATTTGCTGAGTTAAATTTAACTCGTGGTGACATTTCGAAAGTTATTCTCAATGTTCGAAAATCCCTGTGCTGTCGATCGACCGGTTTTCGAGAAGAACTCAACCACGATTGTCAAAATTTAACTTCTTGTCTGTCAGAAATAACCACGCTCGGATAGCAGGGTTGATCGATAACTTTCCATCTGTCAAATTTTAACCAAAAGTTAAAAAAATCCACCAAATTGTTCAGAGACATAGAACCAAATCGACTTCTGTTAGGCATCTTGATGTAATTTGTCAAACTTTCCGTTTCTGTTCCGCCTCCGCCCACATTGCGCTTGGGCCTTAACTCTGATCGACTGAATGAAACAGGTGAAGGGCTACTTCGGCCTAAACGTCAATTTTCGTCCTATCAAGCAAAAGTTACAAATATAGGGGAAATGAATGTAATGTCGGCCTAAATGCCTCTAATTTGGGCTCATACATAAATTCAGCAATCGCCTAAATTTTCAATAGCGACCAAAAATATCCATTAGTACCGTCCCAATGACGCGTTCATTTAGATAAAATTGATAAATAGCTGATTTTTAGCGATGGGCCCAATCTTAGATCCATAGGCCAACATTAGCGACATTTCCCCTATCTATGATTTTATCGTGCAATAATCAATCATACTTGGATTACACTCCTTATGATAATAGATTTAGGTACTGCCCTAAACCGTCATTCACGTGAAAGTACTCAGTATGGCGCTTCATTAAAAAAAAGTACATATTTGCAATCTTTGTGGGAATGCTTGTGACAATGTGAGGTGGACGAAAGGGTGAACAAGGAGGTGAACGCCTAAGTTTTTTTTTCACATTTATATCGCTGTGAAGCAACTGTAAACTGCAGAGGTAATTTATATCTGTAACTGTAACCTGCTCGTTTTTGTTTGCTAATCTGGTGAAGATGATATACTAAATTATCTTAAAGGTAAATCGTCCAGCTTTGTCCCTTTGTATGTGCACACGGTAGGACCATCATCATTATCATCATCCTTTAGGCCACCCTCCAGTTTGATGTATATTCCCATAATATGAGCCATGAAGATTTAGTTAAAGTTTTTAAAGAGATTACGGTGAAACGGGGACGGGCCCGGCCGGAGTCGTCGTTAACATCCATATCTCTCACGCCAAATTCACGAATTCATATCTCATTCCCGGACACTTGACTTGTTATTGTGAGTGAGTAATAAAAAAAATATATCGCGAATAACTATAGGAGATTTTTGAATATCACTTATATCGCTCTAACACTGATTCTATTTGTACAAACGCAAAAAAAAAGTATTTGGTTGCCATGACAACACAATTAACATGGCTGTTGTTGTTGTGATGCGATTGAGGTTTTTGTCTGAAACATATTCAACCGTCAATTTATCTTATTTAGCATTTATTCGCATGTTTATCCTTCTTGAATTGTTATCAAACTTACCGTAACAACAACAGGCTTTTTGGTCATTATCATAGCAACCACATATTAGTTTTTTTTTAGATGTGGACAGCTAGATCCAAAGTTAAAACGATATACAGTGTGATTCGGAATAACTTTCAGTTTAAAAAATGTTCATAAAGATTCAACGCTTTCACGAATTTTTGTATTCAGTATATTCCAGATATACTACATATATAACCTTCAACTTAGCATACCTTAATTCAAATCTCTCTTCCGTTAACCTTAATTACCACCAGCAGAAAATTAACCACAGCTGGCATGCACGCATAGTTTCAGCACTTTTTGAGTACTGGCGATGCGTCTAAGCTCTGATATTGAATGGATTTTCCAAGCATGGTTCCTTTGTACCTCTATAATGATACAAAAAAGTAAATGTTTCATCCTTTCGAAGAGATTTCAGTTTCTAAAAGATATCACACGATTTTATACAGATTTATGACATGCTCCTTTTTTACGTCCATGGCTGCTTGAAATCGCAAATGATTGAAATTTCAAATCCTACTATCAATACAAGCTGATATTTGTACACGATTTAAAAACAAACATACTTTAACATATACCCATTTTACCCATTAAGAATTGCATATTTGTGAAATCGGTGACAGTTATTTTGAATCAACCTGTGAATGAAATTTATAATGCTTCCATAGTAATTCCCATAGAAACTTCAAACCATTTGCGCGGTCCAATCCTTTCCAATCTTTATCATTTTTTGAACAGGCACATCATTTAGGGTTATGAATCAAACTGGAGGGTAACGTTAATGTATGAAAATACTTTTACAGAATGAAGCACCTTGAGTACTAGGATATGGTACTTTTTGTAATAATAAGTAACACAGACTCCCTCCTCTAAAATTACGTAACGGTACACTACTCTCGCCCCCCCCCCCCCCCCCGTTTTAATATTGAATAACAAATCTCAATTGGGTTGTTTAACAGTATTGAGGTAAATACATATTCTTTATCTGCATTGCTCAGAAAACGAAGCTCTATCAGTTGATGTTTAAAAATTGGTATATTTTCCGAAGTTAAACAGCCCAATTAACATTATTAAAAGAAGTATTTATTAAGTTCTAGATACAAGGGTACCGTAGATTTATGTAACCCTAATTTTTTTGTCATTTTGAAAAATTTGTTACGAAGCATTTCTCATCACCGCCCTCCCCCCTATGTAACAATAAGTAATGCAAGCTCGACCCCCTCCCCTCTCCAAAAAATGGAACTGTTGAAGCTTGATTTCGTTTTCTCATATTCTTTCTCTGCGATATCTGATCGAAATTGCTAGGTTAATTCTGACAATAGTGAGGCCTAAAAACTAGAAAAAAAAGGGTTTTCCCAAATGTTTTATGAATGCTTCGCACCTTTTTTAATACGATAAGGGCTCATAAATGCGACTTCTGAGTTTTGGGTCAAGGCCGTTTATAAAATATGAAATGTAGACCACATGTTGCTTTAGTTCATTGATCCATTGGATATGTGTTTCTCTCTCAAATAAAAAAAAAATAACGCTGACTGGCATAGAATGGGAATCATAAGATGGTCTTACCTCTAGTACGATGCGGTACGAAACACGGTGCACACTCTTGTGATGAAGTTCCAGGTTCTACCACTGTCAGCTTACAAATCGTTTCAATTTTCTCAAAGCCGTTTGAAGCTACGCACTTGTAAGCTCCAGCATCACTGGCACACAAATCATTAATCCAAATACATCCATAAGCACCTCTATGCAGATCGTTCATATCAATGATATGGTCATCATACTCAATTGGTACATCATTCTTGAACCATTGTAGTTCTGGCTGAAAACCAATAGCAGCACACATAAGCTTGAATTTACCACGTCCTGCTGCAGCGGCGCGGTTAGTAAGGTGCACAGACCATTGCAGCTTATCTCTGTTATGTAAAATTTTTTTGTGATGATATTTCACCATATCGTCGCCGTATTGCGGAAGAGGGGGTGATTGCTCCGGTTTGTCTCTTTTATATTTATCTGCGAACTTCGGAAATTCCGGCAGAGCACTTTCATCAGTACTGGGAGGTTGTTCGCCTTCCAGCAAAACAGCTCCAGCTGTATCTTGTTTACTGGCTTCATTTGTGCCTGTGCTTGATGGTATTTTTTTGGGAATATTATCTGTAGTTGTTTTTTCAACTGACTGAAGTGATCCTGAATCCGCAGCTGGTTTATCGAGTTCATCTTAATTGAGTTGAAATGTTATCATTGATAAAAGCTTGTTTAATAAACTTTGAATGTGTGGCAAATTAGTACATGCAAAAACATTTAACACATTTTTAGTCAAGTGTTTGTACACTGACAAAACAGGACTGATGACACCAAACATTCCTAAAAACTAAAACAAGAATTTACAGGAAAATGACATGCGAGAGCAGTGTAAAATGCCCGTTTATCAACGGGTGCTGAAAAAAATGAAATTTGCTACAAGTTTCATACAACATTTTTTGCACTCAAAAGAGTGTCGAAAGTAGAACTTTTCGGCACTGGGTGTTGAAAATTAGTACTTTACGACACTGTTATTTTAGTAGAAAAGTAGGCCATTATGTTATTCACTGAGTGCCAAAAAGGCGTTTACAAAATAATTGAAACTGTAGTAAGCTATTTTATCCCTTCGATTGCTATAATATTACGATATAATTATTGCCAATTCAGGGAAAAAATAACATTTGGCGTCAGATTATCAGCTCTAATAGCATGCTGCGGTTATCAATTCCGTTGTAATTTTTTCGATGAAAAACGCAATGTAATGCATAAGTTACTACGAGTATGACACTATTGGTGGTAACATAATTGTCACATTTATTTCTATTTAGTTTTAATAGGTAAATCATAATATTATTTCTAAAGATAATGAATTTAAAGTAAACTTTAGTTGAATGGGAATTAACATACACATTTTGGAAATTTCGTAAGTTTGTTTTTCTTCGCATGCTACTACTAGCTCCATGCAAGCCAACTTTCAAACAGTAAACATTTAATATAACAATAATGAATTACATAGACAAATGTTAGCTTTACAAGTGCCATAAAACCAAAAAAAAAATAACGCTGCATTTTCTAAACGCTTAAAATATACACGTGAAGGGTGGCATTGGCAGTCATAAATTCGGATGTGTAGAGCGGTTACGATATTTAACGCGTTGTTTAAAAGACGTTAAAACTTAGGGTTGGTGTTACTGGGAATATTTGTTTTGAAAACTGTTTTTGTTTGGCTCATATTGATAAATTAAATGAATACCGGTAAAATTTTCACAACCGATAACCAATTTAATTTATTTTGAATTTCGCACTATCATAGCCATTCTCCTTGCTTTATACACGATGATATTCTATGCCCAGGGAAGATGACAAAATTTCCAACACGTGCCCGGAAAGATTTCCTAGACCGACTGGAACTCGAACCTATCACCTCCGGCTTGTTAATACCGTATGCTATCTGGGGCCCAAATCCTCGTAGTATATTGGATCTAATTGGTTCTAAGCTTAATAATTAAGAGGGTTCTCATAGACACCTTTTCTATATCCCACAGAGGTGTATGTGAGGAGAGAATGGGCCAGGAATGCAATCTAACGGGACAACATGAATACTTCCGAATCGAAGCATTTCCGTGACTTGGTGTATTCAGTAAAATATATCATTTAAATAAGGACCTTGTGTATTGACACAAACAGATAGTCCGAAACTCATTCGTATAGATGGCGCTAGAATAAAACTTATTACTCTGAAATTTAGGAGTCTTGGCATCTTGAACAAATTTGTTCACCTTAAAAAAAAATAAACAACTCGTCTATAGTTGTCAAAATTCTACAGCCTGCTATTACGAAGTTATTTGGAGAACATGAAACATGTTAAAAAAACTATTTATAAAGTTAATTGTGTCAATAAGCGAATCCAATCGAAACTAAGCAATCGTTTCAGCCCCTGGTGGTGAATAGGGGATCCCTCGAATCAGTGATGAGGGCTGAAATTTTCACCTTGAAGCATTGGCGATCAAACGATACCATAAAGCGCCGCTTGTGACAAATAGGAGAACTATAAAAATGATGATGATTTCAAAATTCTGCACGGCGTGTTATGAGAGAATAATTTTAAAATGCTTATATTTTACGAATATAGTATTTTTTATAACACGGGGTTAGAAAAGTTGAAATCTATAGATTGAAACGAAAACTAATAAAAAAAAATAAAAATTTAAGATTATACGTCTATCGGGTAGCTTTTAGGGTTTACTTTTATATTTTCCGTGCTGAGCATCAATACTACTGACGGCAGGGAGACAGCTCCCACACCTGGACCCTACCACCTATCGACCCATCAACTCATGAACCGGGGACCAACGGCTTTACTTCCCTTCCGAAGGCAGGCGTGATCAGAGATGTTATGCCTCAGAACATCCCGGAGGCGCCGACTGGGATTGAACCCAGGCCTGCTAGGGTGAGAGGCAATCACGTTTACTACTACACCACCGGCGCCGCTGATTATTTTCCCATCAATCCAATTCAATGCAATCATGAGCATCAATAAAAAATTATCAAATATTTCTTTCTGATAATAAATGCTTTTTATGATTTTTCTTCTATACCTAACCGTGCAAAATTTTGAAACAATCATCATTTTTCTATTTATCCTATTCGCCTCGAGCGCTGCCGTTAGTTCGCCAATAAGAAGAGGGAGATATGTTCACCTTTTCTGATTAATTTATCCATCGCATGTGCTTGAAATCGTCATCCACGTGAAATATTTTGTTTTCTGTATCGATTTTGCAGTGAACTGGCTGCTTCCACATATTTTGTTGAGAAAAAAGTTCCGGACACATTAAGGTTAAATGAGCTGTAAATCAGTTCAGCTGTAGAAAATCGTAAAATATGACCACTCCCGATGGAAATTTGCATGTTGTACAATATAATTTGCATTATTTTGAGATTTGAAAATCTTCATTCCCAAGTAACAACAATTTCCAATAGTTTTATGAGGGTCATACACATTTTCATAAAAAGTTATAAAATATTATAAGCTATCTACAATAAATAAATCGTATCATAAAACCAACTGCTGCTATTTAGATTAATGAAAGGTTTTATGATTGCTTTATAGTGTCTGATGAAGCCAATTTGAATTGTTCTCATTAAACCTGACAACCAATCCTAATGTTGATTTATAAGCAGCTGCAATAAAACTAGTTGGCTATGAAGCATCCATTTTAAAACAGTGGTACTCAATTCCAACTTGTCAAAATGGTAAGAAACCAACGCAACTAAAAACTTTTTCCACCATGGATTTACGATAAAGATTCAAGGATTCTGAAACTTTCAATGGAAATGTACGGAACAATTTTATCCAAATTGTAAACATGAGTCCGTTTCAGTAAAATAAAGTGCTTTAGCCGGAACCTTTCGCAAGTCGCTCCAGCCAAGAAACAAGTTCTCCTGTGTTTTCTGCGGATGTCACGGAGGCAGCTCGAGAAAGTCTACCACCCCACCGTTTTGAATCATCTTCACTTCTTATGCATGAGCTGGAGCTGGATACGCAATGCTGGCCTGACGATCAGGAAGATTAAACATTCTCCAAACTGCGCCTCTAAACAACCCTGGCTGAATTTTCATTGAACGAGCTATCGGACGTCTTGTCTTATTCTTCTTCTCCTCTGGTGCGAGTCGATTGACAACTCAGTTGAGGGCTAGTCTGTCTGACTCCGAGAACATTATTGAAAAGTATTAGTTTTATAGTGGATTTGAAACGGTAATGCATCGACCAAGTAGATTCATTGTTAGCACAATGAAGCGAAATTAGATTTATTGTCAAAATCATTATTGCTTTCCGTAATTACAGCCAACAACTCAAACGCCATATTGGTGTTATGGAAATGTTTGGCCTTAAAAAAATCTAAGGAACTATTAGATAAATTGATGCTCTGGAATTAATTTCTGTGTGCTTCCATATTATCGAAAGTGCTAAGATCGATTTTCTTGGAAGCTAAGATAAACCAATCGAATTAAATTTTGTTTCAATTTACTTTTTTATATTAATCTGAACTATTTTTGTAGCGTATTGATTTTAGACTCCAACATACTCGATAAAATTTAATGTGCATTTGCATTAGAACAAAAAAAAAGCTGCCATTAGTCACCTTTCGTTTCAGATCTTGTTGCTGTCAAGCAATAAACAATCAAATTGAATTTATAGCTGATTTTGAACAGAGCGTAATAAAACTCCATGAATTTAATATTATTCTTAAAGAGGTTATGACGACCTCTTGTAGTATATGGAGATTGTTTCCGCAGTGTTTCAAAACAGCTTTATTGTTATTCTCAAGCATGCTTTAAAAGCCTTATCGAGAGTGGTCCATTTAGCTGGAAGGCAATATTATAGCGGCTATCAGGAGGTTGTGGTGGAGCGCTTAGGTTTTATTAACAGTTTTTTTTTTAAATTGATCTTAAAAACCGCTAATAGACAACAATAAAACTACAAATGTTACTTGGGTTATGATGTAAACAAACGGTTTCGATGACATTTGGTCTCAAAATCACGTGTGTATGGTCCTAATTGAAGGAGGGGGGTACATTTTTTTCGAAGGTCTAGATTAGAGAAGAGGGGATTCAAAATAAACTGTCTTGGCAACCCAATGCCTAGATGGTTTCTAGCAACTCTGTCAGTGGACATAAAAAAGGCACTACTCTTGGCTTCAACTTTAACGGTTCGTTTGGCTCAACATAAGACAAAACCACTCCTCCAGACCCTTACTAGGTACACTCACTAGTTTCTAATCAACTGTTGAAATAAACGCGAGTGGAATCGGGAAGCACCTACTTTTATTTCATTGACAGTTTTGTTAGTACCATAGCTAGTGTCGTGTCGTGTTCGATCCTTTTACTGGTGACATTAGGATTTCAAAAGTTGTTAGCGAAAACGTCGCATCAGTTTTCAGTCGCATGCACAATACTCCAAACAAACATTAATGCTAGACTTTCAATAGTAAAAGCGGTGGTCTGATGCTAGCACAAACTATTTTATAAAAAAAAATATTGTAACCTCTAGGTAAATATGAGAATGACCAGGATACTTTCTTCCTTCATAGATTAGAGTTTTAAAAAACATTTTTCATTGAGTACTAACCAATCTTTATCACACTAAGAACTAAAGATGCAAGCTGTTTTAGATCTAAAAGTACAACTTTTTATGC